ACTGCTCCCATCACAAAATTACATTTAGCAAGCAATAACGAATTAACTACAACTACTCTTCCTCTTAATCTTAAATCCCTTAATCGCCAAAACTGTAAAACTTGTTTTATTTTATTTAAAATCCCAGTCCATGAGGCATCTCTCGCCTCTTTTACATTTACTCCTATGTTCACACCTAGAATCTTTGTATATTCTTTCATTATTTTAAATGGAATATCTTGTCCTTCTATATGCCCTCCTCCCACACTCATTATTTCTGATTTATCAACATTTATCCTTGCACCCGATGCTTTTCCGTATGTTTCCATATGTTTCATTATCCTATTTATACTTTCCATATCTTTAACTGTAAATGTTGTATCGTCTGCATACTGATGAATTATGCTCATTCCCCCATATGGAATTTGGATTCCTCTTATTTCCTTATCTCTTTTAACTAATGTTGCCAAAGGTTCAGCTGTTATGGAGTACAACAATGCCGACAGCGGACATCCCTGCCTAACCGACCTCTCCAGTGGAAAGGAATCAGTTAAAACCCCATTAATCTTTACACAACTCCTTGACTTACTATACACTAAATTTATCCATCTTACAATCCTCTCCCCAAAACCGAATCCTCTCATTACTTGTTCTATAAAACTGTGCTCTACCCTATCAAATGCCTTATTTAAATCCATACATATAATCAATCCCCCTTCCCCATCCTTCCCCATACTATCCACTACATCTCTTATTGTGCATACTGTATCTGTGATATCTCTACCCGGTATGCTATACGCTTGACTTGGTGATATTATGCTCCCTACTATCTCTTTTATTCTATTAGCTAATACTTTTGTCAAAATCTTATAATCTGTATTTAGAAGACTCAACGGCCTATAATTTTCCAACTTAAGTGGGCTGCCTTTATTTTTATACAAGATAGTGATTACCCCTAAACTCATTGATTCTGGCACTTCCCTTCTCTCTTCCATACTTTTATATAGTTTCCATAAAATTGGCGTTAAAATCTCTATGAATGTCTTGTAAAACTCATGTGTTAACCGCTTTAAAGACTTCTTTTCTTTCAGTTTCTACATTAGGTGCATATATATTTATCAACCTAAACAATGCATTACAAAACACAAATTCTATGACTAACAATTTTCCTTTATCATCTTTATATATTTGCTTTACACAGTGCACTCTTTCTCTTTTTATCAAAATCGCCACACCACATGCTTTTTCAGTTCCATGATTAACAAAAATATCCTCTTCCCATAATTTTTTTATGTTTTCCATAATATCCTCTGACCAATGTGTCTCTTGTAAACAAATTATATCTGCTTTCAACATTCCAATCACCTTCTCAACCTTATTTATTTCTCTTAGTCCATTGCTGTTTAAGCATGCAATGTTCATTATGCCCCACATAGCATATACTGCAGTTAAAAGGAATCTAAACCGCATTTGAATAAAACCAATCTCTTACTTTATTCCGCTATACTGTTCCATCCCTTTCTTCTTTCTTTTCCTCTGTAGTCCAATGTTCTTCTCCTCACATGTGTCCATTTCCTCCTCCACATTTGTTCCTGGAGTCTCTAGCACCACGTTCTCTCCTCCTTCTCCATCGACCTTCTCTTTCATTTTTCTCAACTCCTGGATTTTCATGCCTTGACTTTGCGCATTACCACCTTCTTGACTTTCACCACCACTTTTAGATGTCTCCCCATCTTCTCCTTCAGTCCTCTGTTCCTTCGATATTTTCACATATCCAGCCTTTGAACTTGCCTCTTTACTCAGTTTCAATTCCTCACCTTTCTTTTCTTCTTTCCCCTCTCTCAGCCACAGCTCCGAGACCACCTCCTCTCTGCAGCTCTCCCTCCCAGTAACTCTCTGTTCTGCTGCTGCACCTTTTCTGCTCCATGTGTCTCTTCTCACCTCCTCCACAGCCACTGAATCTCCCCCCTCCTCATCCTCTTCCTCATCCACCTCATACAGATCCGATAACTTTCCCTCGCTGTCCTCTTCTCCCATCTCCACCCGCGTTTCACACACACACATAATCCAGTTCTCATCTCGCACGTGTTGCAAATCCCTTCATTGCATTCTCGTGCATAATGTCCTTGTTTGCTACACCTATAGCACTTGAAGCTCGGACAGTCTCTCACCACATGCCCAGGTTGAATGCACAAGCGACACACCTTCACCTGTCTGTCATGGATTACTCGAAAGTGCTCCACTCCCCCCTCTGTCTCAAACTTCGTAGAATATGGCAGCGATTTGACGGTGTCTGTGAATTTGACTTTTAAGAATCTTGTTCCGTCTGCGATATCAGTTCCTGGCCACATTCTCCTTTTGATTCTTGAAACCGCCGTCACTCCCCATTCCGTCAGCTTTCTCAATATATCTTCATCCTGGATATACGTTGGCAGTCCCAGGAACGAAACCACCATCTCAGTGCGACTTCTTTCTTTCGCCATGATTCTGCTCTTTTTTATCTTTAGTCCATCTAGTACTTTCTCCTTTCCTTTCTCCTCCTCCATTGTCAGCTCGTATTGTCGTGGAGTTTTATATCTACATCCGATCACCACTCCACACTCCTCTCTTACTTTCTTCAACACTTCCATCATGGTGATTCTGTCCTCTCCCTCTATCTCCACCAGTACTGTTAGCCGCTTCTCATAATTTCTCTCACTTTGTTCACCCTCGTCCTCCTTTTCTCTCACATTCCTCTTGTCAAATCCTCTTTCCTTCTCCATGTTCTCCATCTGCATTTTCCACCCTCTCAGCAATAGAAGTATTTATCCCCAAACAGCAAGAGCTGCTTGGGGATTAAATAACTCTGCCGAGAGCAACTTCCTTTTGTTGTTTAAAGTTGTTTAGCAGCACACCAAGGATTCCCAGCTCTTCCAAACAATCAATCTCCACCTGTTCTCTCCACTGACTCACTCACTTCCTGAATTCCACAAGAGGGCGCTCAGGGTGGTATGGCATGCCGGATGAGTAACACAGCCTGCTTTTTTTATAGTAATTCTACAAAGTTTAACTCCACCTGACAGTTTCATTTTTTTTTATTTTAAAGTTCACAGCACTTGTCCCTCCATAATTAACATTTATTTTGGTAACAACGGAGCAATAACCCAACTTTGTTTGTTACATCTTTTTAGTTGTAAGGGACGATGATTATAAGAAGGGCCTTTGAGCTTTGCATTGGCTACGGACGCCCTCTGTAACAAACTCTGTTTACAGTATGTTGTACAACAAATTTTTATGCTGCAAAATTAGCTTATTTTTTGTACTTGTGGACAGGCACAGTGTGTGCTCAAGAGCTTCAGTATCAACACTTTCTTTAGTATTTACATTTTATTGCATGTTACATGCACCTGACTTGTTTACTGGTATAAAGGCTTTATTTGTTTAGTTTTTTTTCCACCTTCAGGGCACAGTTTGCATTTGACTCATAACAAATATAGTATTTTCATAGTAGTAGGCATTTTTATTTACTCTGAAATGTCTTTATTGATGTCGAAATGAGGAACATTGCTATTATATCGTTGCATTTAATTTCCTCTAGGTGTTAGTTTTGATTCTGAATTTTCCTCTCAGTAGTTTTTGTTTACTGTAAGATGGATCAGCAGATGAAAATGCTCTTGGTTAGGCAAAATGTTTTTCAGCTGTGTTGGCTCTCATATTACTATGTTCTCTGTTTCAACTAGTTTTTGTTCTTGTAAATCTAGCTCTCATATAAAAGTAGCCATAGATCCGAGAGCTCAAATGGAAAGTTTTGTATGACTGTACAGTATTGCGAAACTTCCACATTGGCATGTCAAACTCAGCGAGTCTCCCAGGTTTCCAGTGTTCAGTTATTTTGTTGTTTGTAGTATTGGTCCTAAATATCACTGTTAAATACCTCTTTGTCTCTATCTGCAAAACATTAGTATTCATGCCTACAAGTGAATCGCACACTTTATTTACTGGATGCATATATTTGGTTCATTTCTTGAATTTAATTGCTTGGCTATCAGTGACCGCAGAAAGAAACTTGGGTCATTATATTACAAGTGCAAACTGTAAGAAGGTGCTTAATCAGACAAGCAGTAGAAATGATAGTGTTCATTGTTTTTCATATTGCTAGTTAAATGATAATTGTAAGAAACCACAGATTGGGATAAGATGGGAGCAGTTATAATAAACTCAACTGAAAAAAATCTTAATGGTTAAACCCTGATCGCTGTAGTTTTGTGGTTGCCAGAAATTTATTGAAAAAACAAACAAACAAATATAGCGTCAATGTTTCAGGCATTATGAAATAGCATTTTGGTGTCTGTGTATTTCAGTAACTGAAATAGTGTTAATATTGGCTATCCAGACTACAATAATCTGCTTTGTACCTGACAAGCACCCATACAGTAGATGGCTACATAATAAAATGTAATCAGAAAGGGCCTTTAAATTGTTATTGATGTTTATGTTATATGTTTATGTTATAAACATGAATTGACAGTGCACATTTACTCACACAAAACACTGCAAAATCAAAGAAATAGACTAATAGACTGTGATATGCATTAGCATACAACAACATAAAACATAACATTAACACCTCTATAACAAAAACAATAAGACATATAACTTATTAAATATTTGGGGCATTTGGGGTAAAAAGCACCTCTGCTGTTGGGGCTAAAGGCACAATAGTTAACATGATGATAAATAGGTGGCTGACATTTACAGTTGTTATGGTAAGTTGGGTGTCCACCTTAGAGATAGTCAGCATATTTTTAATGGAACCATCATCAAAATACCATATTTATTGTTACTACTGTAAAGCTGTATTAAATTAGGCCTATGGGATCTCCTTCAATGCTTTCAGAATCTTTTTAATTTTAACAACAGTATTGAAAAAAACGAAACTATTTTATTTATCAAAATAAACAGAACATAGCACAAACTTTGCTAAAGTGATTGATTTGAACAATAATTCCCTTATATTATTCACAACATACGATTTTAACTAAAGTATTTGTGTAAATAGTTGTGCTTTTTACCCCTTGTTTAGAGACATGAAGCCGACTCATACATTTATAAGATTTTTAAACAAAACAAACCTCTTTACGATTTATTCCTACACAAAATATGTTGCCCCATCAAATATCAATAAAATGTATATATTTCTGCAATCATACATAATGGGAGTAGTGAAAAGCACAAACGTCAGGTCTTGTTTTCAGTATTATTAACCATAGCATTCTTAATGTAACATTTATTCTTTGTAACTCTTTCCTCTGTTTCATTATTATACCTCATTTATCATTTTTCTTTCTTACGATAGGCTACTTTTGATGCTTAACGGTCATACTGTGAAGCATAAAAATCGTTGCAAAATTACGGTTCTCATTCTGTGTCACGTATTGTGTTCCTATTGGTCACTGAACATGTTCCGCCATAAACCTACCTCATCATTTCCGCTTCCGTATATTGAACTAGATGAATCTTGTAAGGTTTTTAATCGCTTTTTGTGTTATTCCAGTGGTTTCAAAGAACTTTTAAAATGCGTGGATAACAAAGATGAAGACGGGATCTTCCCCTTGAAAACAAAATATAGCTAGAACATATACGTGAATGCATTTATCTGCTGTAAGTACAATTTGTCTTGCTGTACCAAGTGTTTGACAGCAAGGAGGTGTTTACGATGGCTGTGCTGTAACACCAGTGTGACTCAGGTTTGGTGCATTGCCTGGCGATGCGAAGATGATGATGTGCTGCTCGGATGGGGTTAGAAATAGGAGCTCGTTGTGGGACGTTAAAACTTCCACACCTTGACAAATGACGATCGCTGGCCATCACTGATTATTTTCATCTGATCTGACTTGTGCATTACGAAATTCCTGTAAAATTAGAATTGTGGCTATGGAGGAGAGTACTGAGCTGAGGGAAGAGTGGACCTTGCTCCTCTGGACCACGGTTGCTTTTCTGGTCCCAGTGCTCATCACACTGTGGTGCAGCTTCCAGCGTCCCAAACGCAAAGTTCAGCTGAAAGATCTGTTCCGAAAGAGCAAACATGGCTGGCACTACACGGACCTGTTCAACAAGCCCACCTACTGCTGCGTGTGCTCTCAGCCCATCCTGCAGGGGGCGTTCTGTGACTGCTGCGGCATATGTGCGGATGAGGAGTGCATACAGAGGGCAGATCGCATCCTCTCATGTAAGGAGATCATGACCCAGAGTCAGACAGATGGGAGGTTTTACCATCAGTGGGTCAGGGGAAATGTGCCCCTCGCCAGCTACTGTGCCGAGTGCAAACAGCAATGCGGGAATCAACCTAAACTCTGCGACTATAGGTATTTAATATGTCCATGAGCTTCTTTCTTTCTTTCTTTCTTTCTTTCTTTCTTTCTTTCTTTTCTTTAATATTTCTGTCTGTAAATATTATAACAATATTTACAGACGTCAAAGTCAATATTTACAAGAAAATGTTAAAGAACAGACAGGTGTTTTTACATCTTAACTTAAAGCAAAAAGGATGGCAGAATGGCAACAACTTTAGACACTGTTCAATAGCAGCAGAGAGCACACAGCCTAGAACAGAACTTGAAAGCGTCTGTTGAAATCCATTTTTGTTAAGGCTGTGGCACTTTAAAATACATCCCTGACTATTGAACAAACAGAGCAAACCAGAAGCCTGTCCTTTTCTCTTGTGTTTAATCTTTCTAAAGCATGGTTTGATTAAAGAGTCAGTAATCCAGCTATTATGACCAGGTCCTTCCACCTCAATCCTCAATGTCAAAGGTAGTGCTAAACTGGTGCCAGGTCCGCTTTTGCTAAGGCTCAAACCAAAATAAGTGCTGATTTAAAATCATTTAAAAATTATTTGTGCCATTTTTTATGATTTATTAAAAGTATATTATGTGCAAAATAAGAAATCTTACTGTGAGTTTTACTACAGAGGGTTTGCAGTCAGTACAGCTACCAGTTCTAAGTGCCCTCACTCACATTTTTTGTTTTTATTTTGAAATATATATAGGTGTGTATGGTGTCAGACCACAGTGCATGATGACTGCCTTTCTAGTCTGAATGATGATTTGTGTGATCTTGGAGAGTTCCGCTCTGTTATCATACCTCCACATTACCTCTATCAAGTCAACAAACTCCGCCGAAGACACCCTGATGAGTACAGCAAGGTGAGGATCCATCCACAAACACAAAGATATGTAAAAACTTACATATTTTACAACGGAGACCATTTTTTTTTTATTTTAAGCAGGGCACAGAGGTTATTGGTCCAAAAACAGATTTTGTTAAAACCAAGCTGCCAAAATGACTAGTTTTCTACTTTTTTTGTTTGTTTTGTCTTAAAGGAGACATGCCTGTTTTAAACCAGAGGTACAAAAACAGGGAATAAAATGCCAATTTATTTCTATAAATTTTTTAAATAATAATTATAAGTATGAAATATTGTGTCCCATTTTACATACTTTTGCACTATTCTTCACCATTGTGTAGTGTAAGTTCCTGGCTGATGTACATGTTCATTGTGCTTGTTTTTACATATATGATATACAGTAGTAGTAACCTGTTGAGAATAATTGACAGAACTTTAAAGGAGAATTAATTTTGAGTAGTTTTCCTTTTTCAAATGTAATTTTGGCGTTTATGAATGTAATTTATATTGCTGACACAAACACATAATTATCAAACCAGAAAATGTATAGGTGTACAAAATGATTAACCATTAATCAAAAAGCAGTGTAATAAATGTCAGATGTATTGCTTTTATATGTAAAAGTGTTTTAGACTGACATCTTTGACTTTTTCAGCATCTTTTTTTCAGCATGAAAAAATGCAACTTGCATCTCGAGTCACTGCATTATTTCCATTCTTTAATGCAGTGTTTGTGTTTAAAAAAAAAAAAGTGACAAAGGCTTTTATTTGAAATGAACAGTATTTATAGATTAAACAAATATATATAA